CCCGAGGGAAAGGTTGCGAAAAAATTGTTTTGTTACTTGGCTTGTTTTCAAGCTGATATTCGATTTACTGTATGCGTATCCTGCCCGGATATCTATATCGGAAATACGTTTGGCAGGACTTTGATGCCTTGTTTCCATGAGTTGTTAATCTCGCAATACTGTAGTCGTTACACCAGGTATATGTTTTAATTAATAGACCCTTTATATTGGGAAATGAATTGTTAGCACGCTCCGCAGCAACGCGTGTCCGGAGGACTAGGGAAAAAAAATTATTTTTACTCCGTTATTTTCCCGCCGTGTTATCATAGATTCTTTATACGATTACGAACATGAATTATTGTCTTATTATACTGCGCACACTCTACTATAACACGCGGAAACTTCTCGTATATAATAAATTTTATTTTGCATGCAAGTAAAGAGCAGATTATTATTGGGATTCTGCACGTACGTAAATTCTCTTCGTATGTTGAAAGTATGTTGAAACATCGAGTTAACCAATTCGACTCAGCGTTTGCGAAGTCAAAGCGGTGAAACATTTACACGAGTCAACAAAGCGTCGCTCAGGCAGGTGTTGTAACATGTTATGCAGTACGTTAAAAGCGTATTCATGAAATATAAAGCCTGCTACTACGCATATCAACATATTTAACATGCTTCATGATGCGTTTCATCGTATCGATCTTCGTAAGTCATTATTGATATTTATTGATTTTCGTATATTTACAGTGGAATGTTGACTGTGAAATTTTGTGACGTTAAAGACAACGGATGAGTGAGTTAGCAAGCAAAAAGAACCACAGAACGCATGACCTACGAGCGTTGACCCATTATTTCACAATGCCGTGCCCGAAGTCGCAACGGTTAGTTCCCAATATCTATTTGCAATTCTCGACCAAACCAAGTCCTGACGCTCGTTCGAGAAGTATAGATACCACGTTTCCAGCATATTGACATCGTTGCAACCCATTCTAGGAATTCAAACAAGTATCGAACAAGTAACGGTCTATAAAAAAGACAATTTATCGTAATGGGCATGTTACCGCACGATCGAATCCTTTAGATAAAAGAAACCGCAAATAATGATAGAATAAGATTTTATGTCGATGGTGTCTTTTTAAAACTAGGAATGGGAAAAGAATGAGAAAGAGTTAAAATGGTAATTACAGGTGAATTATTAGTTCCGAGAAATAACAGTTTTAATTTTACAATAATTGTATATATATATATTTTTTTTAAAAAAAAAAACTTATTTTACAA